AAGTTTCTCTCTGGAGGTTTTCCACCAGAACACGGCATAGACCCGTATGTTTTAGACCAACCAATGTCAGCAGCCCCCAGCCCACTACGGAAAACCCCTTGGAAAGAGGTACCCTCCCATAAAGATTAAGGAGCCAAGCACAGGAGAAAAGAGGAAGTGATCTTAAAAAAGATTAGCTCTGTAGAGGAGTTTTGATGCATCAGAGTAACTCATTAGACCAACACTGTGGAAGAGAGAATCACCAGGCCACCTTCTCCTGCAATCAAGTCTCATTGCAACAAGTTTAATAGCAAAGCCTTGACATTCACTGGTCAAATGACCACAAGATTAGGAGACAATTAAAAGATAGTTTGCAAAAATCAAGTTTTGTAACCACAGAAGCAGGCTGAATAAGTACAGGAGCCGGGTTAAGTGACGTTGTTTTACACAGCGTCCTACTCATCCCGCGTGACCACAGGCCAAGCTGCTCCAGGGGTGTCAGTCTGACAGCACCCCTGCTCAACTCTTTCACTGGAAGAGACAGCAGGAGTGCGCACTCTTCAAAATTTAAGGTTGGGGTTTTGTCAGTAATAGCAAAACAGATAAATTTTACTTCCCACTGATTCAAGGAGTTCAAGTACAGAGTTATTTCTCGTCTCTTCACTCAAACTGTCAAGGCAGTCCAGTCCGTAGCAAAACATTAAGCAACTTAAGACACTGTCAGTTTAAAGCTCCCTTTCATTCAAAAATTGGTTTTGCTTCAGCTTTGGTTTGTTTCACCAACCATGGGGCCTTACCAGCATCCCCATCCATCTACTGCAGACAAGGAGAACAACTTATCCTTTTGCGGGCTTCCTACTGCTATGGGTTAGCATGGACCGAGTACTTCACAACAACCAAGGAACTGGGAGAACCAAACTGATAGAGCAGAAAGACTGCTAACGAAGTGTTTCTAAAAAAAGTAATGAGTTTAACTTCCCCATAGAGCAGCGATACAAATGCACTCTCACCAAGCAGAATGATCACTTAATACTTCATGTTAAGGATGCTCCAGCAATGTGGTCTTTGAGGCAAAGTGAAGTCTCCTAGTGT